TAAAACAATAGACTGCAATATTTACTTCCAAAAAAATTTGGTTTTTTTTCAAATATTTGCACTCTAACTTAACTTGATTATGTAAAGCATACTTTGAGTATGAAAGAATTAATAAAGGCTTAGTAACCAAGTAGAGTACAAGCGCTTGGTACTTCTAAATCATCATTTTGTAGTATGAATTCCGTAGAAAAGGATTTAATCGAGAAATCAGATTACATTTATTGGATACATTTATTGGATAATATTATCGACTYATCCACTGGATAATATTTATCCATCAGATAGCACTATCCACCCTTCATGCAACCGGGCCCTGATTTTTAAAACATGCAAAATAAATAAAAGATATTGAAATTTTATTTCATGAGTCTTTGGTAATATATATACACTTTACAAATATGTTACAAACATGCTTCAGAACTATGCATACAACTTGGAGGATCAGTACATATTTTCTTATCCTTCAACTGAGCATTTGACATGTCTGGCTTGAGAAGACAATGTAAATTGTATGGTCTGAATGTATCTATAAGACCCAAAATAGCTTAAATGGAAACTTTTGAGGGGGGTGAGGCACATTTACGTTACGCTGTAACTTTACAGATAYATAATTAATAATATGTAAATAATCCTTCTATGGCCTGGAAATACTGGTAAATTAACCAATCAGTGATGACACTTGCTGAACATCCACTCTAACTGTTGATGGTTATTGTCAATGGTCAGTAGATATCCACTCTGCTGCAAGAATGATATAGCCTATATTACATTTTGTTGTAGAATAGACTAACTTCTACTCTTTTCTCATGATCACATCATGCTGATGATTGCCGGTACTTGGATGTATCTAGTACTTTCTTCCCACACATTGCACATATTCCTGCAAACAAAAATGGTAAATAAGAATCCAAGATAAAAATTAAGGCTTTTGTGGGRAAAAAAGATTTAACAATAAAAATTAATGCAATAAAGTATGCATGATAAATAATTATATTTACAAAAACAGAGCATATTCTTGCRATTGGCTGACACCTATGATCAATAAGAGGACATACACAAAGAATGACAAATCCCTCGTGTACTTTGCTAATTTGCAATGTGTTAAATATGAACTCCTTACCTTTCTTATAAGCACATCCTGGGAAAGAAAATAAAAAAATACATAAATACAAAGATGGTCATTTTTAAAAAAAGCAAGATCATTTTACTGATACTCAGAAAACAATATTTACCTTGACAATAGTGTGAGTGTTTCTGGTGTACTGTATCTTTGCATATCTTACATTTCTTAAACTCTGCATAAGGTGAAAACCTGTAAAACAGTGAAAACAGACATCAGCATTTAGCTTGCCATTGTCTTTATATACTTCAATGAGCAGTTTTAACTCTGTTTTGTATAATACATGATAATAMGTTTTGTCAAAGTCTTTCCTTTTATCTCCACAATAGTGTGGCAACTTTGATGAAGATAAGACCAAATATCAAACTTAAATATGAGACATAAAACAATGAATAATGAGGCAGTTTTTTTACGTCATAAGGTTTGGCTCATGTGAAGCTTACGTTCATCTTTTGACCTTAGTCTGATACACGTACCCTTACCTCCAAAAGTAAACAAACTTACCTGTTTTTCTTCATAAGGT